TTTCTGTCATAGCCATTTTTTATCAAATCAAATAATTACATATATTTTTAACTAACTTGTAAGTACATTTGAGATTATTCATTTGAAGATGGGAGAAAACTCTAAAGCATTTAGTTTATAAATATACTTATAGAGATAAATCCTACATTGAATGCAATATAAGATTTTCATTTGTTTTCATAAAATGGGTCTTAACTTAAAATTACTATGAATTATTTTATCTTGTAGTTGCTGTTCCAAGTAAAGAAAGCTTATTTTTGAAATATAATTTATACAGGCAGTCTTCTACTTTTGTATTTAATTGGTTTCTGAAATGTGTATGAAAGTTGAAATATATGAAAATAGAGCAATGTAAAAACACATCAAAAAGGGTTTTCAAAATATTTATTTTTTTATTGATTAGTATCTGGTGTTTTCTTTATGAATTTGTCAAGAGATAATTGAATTGTACACTACTTTTTCTTTTCTTGATAAAGAGTTCTGTAACATAGTGTGTCTTTTTCTATTGCCCTTTATACGTGAGTTATATGCTCTCCATTGGGATCATATTCTTCCATGATGGTCAAAACTTTGTCAAGATGCATGAAGGCTTTGTTTATATTCATGATTGTCAAAATCATAACAATAAGTTTTTTATGAAGTTCTTCTTTGTTTTGTATTTCATTCATCTCTTGTAGTTTAATCAAGTCGTCATTTGACAGAGGTTTTGAATGAGATTCTCTTAATTCATCAATATCTTCATTGTTGACATCTAAGTTTAATTCATTCATTATATTGACTATTTTACTTATGATAGCTTCAGGAGTTTTTTCAAAGTCCACAGAATCATTCATCATTTGTGGACTTTTTTTTCCCCCCAGCAACTTTTCATTGTTGACCCTTTTATTTCAACCTATTATCCCTCAATAATATTTATTGCATTTCATATATTATAATTTTTTTCAAAAATCTCTTAATGTATGTTCACCTTCCTTGTCAATTGCCTTGATTGCTTGTTTCATTAATCTCTTCATATAATATTGCTTAAAAGTAGCTATCACAATTTGATTCATGGATTGTATTTCGCTTGTGATATTGGAAGGAAGAATTACGACATTAATTTCCAGATATAAATTTTACAGAGATTTTGGATGTCCAGGAGCATTGTCTAAGAGCAATAGTGCTTTAAATAGTAAATTATCCTCACTGAAATATTTCCTAACAGAAGGTGCACAAAATGATGTGAGAACAAATCTTGAAAAAAACTGTGAAGTAACCCAGGCTTTAATATTTGATTTCTAAATGACTGTAGCATTCTTTTAGCTTTTCCTTTCAACACTGTGGGATTTTCCGTGTGATATTGGCTTGAATTTAAAATCACCAGCTAGATTACCTTCAAGAAACAATGTTAATCTGTTTTTACAGTGTGTGTCAAAAGTATATATAATCAACATTTTACTGCTTTTCAGAATTGTTAGGAATTTAAGAGAAATGTAAATGATGCATTTTGTATATTCAAACTACTTTTATTTTGAAATTATCAAAAATCAGTGTAAAGATCATTATATTGATAATTTAACAAGAAAAATATATTTTTTTGGCTGTCCCAAAAGTATAGATAATAAAACAGAATTGCAAAATTTGAAGCATAAGAAACTTAAAATTATAAAAATAAAAATAAATGACGACATCACAAAATTTTTACTTGTTGTCAAGTAGTAATTTAAATATTGAATCAAAACTTTCCAAAATTCCACATGATCAGCATTTAGTATTGAAGAAATACATGAATATATAAATTAAAAGCAGAAGGCTGTAATGTCAAGGAAATTGCTGTTTTAGTGAACAGAAAACTTAAAAAGTTTTGGAAAAATCATCACCAATATCTTCTAAAGATCAATCAGGAAGGTCAAAAATCATATCTCAAAGGAAATGAATTGAATTTAATTCCTTTGAGATATCATGCATCTTGAATCACAACAGGATAAATCAGTTCATCAAATTTTGTGTGAAATTGGATTAAAAATATCAAAATGCATTTTTTATCAAAGAATTTCAGCAGCTCCACATATGAAATTTGATGCCTTGATGAAAAACCATCATTAACAAAATGACACAAATTGGCAAGAAAGCATTGGGCTAAAGATCACATACCATGGAAAGACCAATGACTCTCAGTCCTTTTCAGAGATGAAAAGAAATTGTTCTGTTATAGTGTGGGGCTGCTTTGGATTTAATGGTTTATCAAATTTAGTTATTTTAACTGGTAGACAGACATGTAAAAGTTATCAAGAAGTCCTAAAAAATACTTTATTACCTATTCGAAGACCTGATTTGATTTTCCAACAGGACAATGCCAATATTCATTGTTCGCTCTCAACAACTAAGTGGTTCGAAGATCATAATATTCAAGTTATGGAGTAACTGGCAAGAAGACCAGATATTAATCCGATTGAGAACTTCTGGGGCATTCTTGTTCAAAAAATTTATGTTAATAACAGGCATTTTACAACAGATTCAGAGCTTAAACAAAAAATAATTGAGTGCTGGTTTCCAATGGATCCAGAAATCTTATAACATTCAATTAAATCAATGTCTAATTGCATTTTTGAAGTCATTAAGCATAATGGCAATTCTATTTCATATTAAAACAATTTTTATCAATTTATGTTATGAACTATTGCTCAAAGTTTAAACTTATCTATATTTTTAGGACATCACAAAATAAGTATTTTGTGTTTAACACTTTATGTAACTGTCAAATAATTTACTGTGCTAGAAATAAACAATAATAACCATTCACATTGTTAAGAAATACTTAATATAGTAGAACCTCGATTATCCGGACTAATTGGGGATGAAAGTAGTCCGGATAAGGAAAAATCCGGATAATCGAAACAAATACTTTAATTTGTCTTTTAATGATAATACAACACGTTTTCTTTTCAATGACATATCGGTAATATTAAAAGTAAATACTGTATTTAAATCGTGATCAAATTTTCAAGAAAACGTTCGTATTGAATTTGGACTACTAATGACCAACGCTGACAGACTACCTATTGTTTAAAAGGCCCTCTGGTGGCGCAAGAAGATGGATTTTATAAAATAAAAAGCAGTTGAAACTGCATTTTTATAAATAAAAATTTGACAAACTATTGTTTTATGATGAGTAAAATTTTTTCGTCGCGTTCACGGCTTTTAAGTAATGCATAAACCTTCGAGGCTCAAGGCTCTTCGGACTGCAAGACATAGGTGGAGGCCCACATCGTCCATGCCTTACGCCGCCCTTGGTCATAGAAATGATGTAATTTGAATATAAATTATTTATAAATATGTATGTCAAGTTATATTTTTATTACTACGTAAAATATATTTAAGAGTTTACGACCACTATGCTGGGTGAGACGTTGTTGAAACAAAAAAGTTATGTATTCCATCACGTACATAAACAGTGTCGTAATTCGCCAAGTGCAAATCAGCAAATTCGTAAAATTTTTGTTTATTTTAAACAATCAGGATAATCGAAAATCTGGATAATGGAGGTCTGGATAATGGAAGTTCTACTGTATTTAAAAAAAAAGTGAAAACATATGAATTATCTATATTTTTGGGACACACTGTATAATGCAACCAATGTGAAACTATTTATGATATTTGAAAATTTAATCATGGTTGATATTCAATTACTCTCTCTCCAAATAATAATTGTGTTGATCTTTTAATGAGTGATACAATGTGGCATGAATAACAAACATACCATCAACCTTCTCTTGCTGCTCCTATCTTCTCCAGCAGATCAACACCCACATGAGCAAACTACTGTATTACTTGTCTGCCAGCTATAGTAGTTGCACATTCAATTAGTCATAACTCACTCATTATGGTCTGTAGAATGAAATAGTTTGGAAGACTGTATTATCAAATCAAACACTACTTTTGTACCAAAATTCATCAAAATCAGTGGGGGACATAGGTAAAAAACTCCTTGTTAGACATTTGTAATTGTTAGAAAGAAATAAATTTTCTTACATTTGGTTACTAGTAAAAAATTTGTTCATTAATTCTAAATAATGTAGTTAGTGAAAATCTTTTCTTTATCTTAATACAATATTCTGAAACTTGAAACAAAATATAATTGATTCCAGATGAAACTAAACTTACTCATATTTCATTTGATAAAGCTTATCAATTTCTATATATTTTTTTCTTGTTTTTGTTTTTGCAATTGAATTGGTGATAACACTTAGTAGCCAATGTTACAATCCATTTTATTTTTATCATGATATCAAAGTTTACTCAATATTTAAAGATATACAGAATATTAAACATCAATAATTATGATAGTAGTTCAACCAATATTAACCAAATTAACCAATACAGTAGACCCCCCTATAATACGGTAGATATGTTCTGTTTTATATAAATTCGGGTTTTACGATCACTTAAATACATCAGCCAATCACAGCCCAGCACATATGCAGTTTATGAACTATGGCTGTTTGAAAGGTTTTCTTCCATAAAATTAATCGATTCTAGACTAATTTGACTCAAACATTTCCAAAACACATATAATTTTTTGCAATAATCCATATAAACTATGCTACAAACAAAAAATTGTAGGATTACTTACTAAGTGTGCACCGTTCGATGACACCATTGCTTAAGTTTGTTTTCGTCGCGGAGTGGCGCATCGAATGGCAGGCACGTGTTTCCTGATAAATTATTTTTCTATGAAAAATTTGCTAAACTTTGCAGACATCATTAATATAAATATAATTTTTATGGCCGTTAAATAATAAATGGTTTTTAGTAGGTCCGCTGCTTGTTTAAACTCAATGGTTTGTGCAATATCCGCAATTGGTCTAGATTCCATCAATCCTGTCGCAACACGAGTCGGTGATAACATTTTACTGTATTACACAAGTTTCTTTTAGCGTGTTTATACGAATATGAACCTGTTTTATAGGGGGTTTACTGTATTATATTTACTGAAAAAGGATTAAAATATAAAAACTTACCTTAAAATGGCCTTCAATTATACGAGTACTCTGAGTAAACTTGAAGGATGTGGGAGACTTTATTTTTCTCTCATAAGTTACCTTAACTTCTGTAACTGGTGCTGGTGTTTCTTTGCTGTCTAAGGTAAACTCTTTTAATGATGGTTTTGGTTCATAACTAGGAGAATTTGTACTTTTTGTCTTTGCTGGTGTACGATTGTTACTTCCTCTAAATGATCTGCGTTTAGATATTTCTTCATTCTGTAACTGTTTAGAAGATTCTACCTAAAAAAATTCATTAATAAAATAAAAATTATAATTAACTGTTATCAGCTTTTTAGAATACTAAACACTTATCAAAAACTAAAATCTACCAACCTTATCAGCAGGTGTCCAAACAGGATCCAAGTCAGAATCATCCATTTGTTCACCATCATCATCATCGTCATCAGAACTAAATGCTGATTCAATTTCTGTCCCCAACAACTTATCTTTCTCTCCTTTATGAATTCAGAAATTATTTTTATTCGTAAACCATTTATTTGTTAAAATGTTTTTACTAAAAATAAAATCTTTTTAAAATATACATAATATTGGAAGCAATTATCATCTTTACAAAGAAAAATGATAAAATTTTTTTGACAATGAATGTATTACACTTCAAGATTTAAAACTTTTTCCTTTGTAGTTTTTTTGAAGATCACATAAATCAAAAATTGCTGAATTTATCAATTAGTACAGTTCTCACAAGATCATACACAGAACTAACAAGCCTAGTTTGTAGTCTTAGTTTGTGAGAATAGCCCAGTTCAGTTTTCATAAAATATAGATGAAAATTACATTATACATTGTATGAAAACTGAAATGAGCCTGTATAGATATAGCCAAGACTATAGACATATCTTGTCAGCTCAGAAGGGGAGGATCAAACATTTCGATCTCCATTATTTGTATGGCCATAGATTTAACTATGGCCATACAAATAATTTGGGTCCTAACAAAATATTCCTTTTTAATAATCTAACTGGAGACAGAGAAACTTCCACCAGAGGTCTGTAGATGGATATAAATGCAACTGATTTTTACCTGGGTGATATTGTGAAGAATTTTAATGCTGTGTTTTTGGCATCTGATCCTCTAAGAAAAGGTCGGCGTCAATTGTATTGTATGTATTTTTTAATGTCATTTCGTCAGTTTTTAAGTTGTTACTATCTGTCTCTAGTTGGATTATTAAAAAGGAATATTTTGTAAGGACCCAAATTATTTGTATGGTCATAAATTTAATTTAATCAACAAATTTATCCTTGGAACTTTGTAACTAATTTCAATCTCCAATTCAAATAAAATTTGGTGAGCATGTAGCCCTAAACACAAACTAAACACAATCCGAATTAATCCGAAAAGCGTTATCCGAAAAATAACTTATTTTTCGGATAACGAATCATGTACGAAAAAATATATTAATTTATCCCATGTTGAAATTTTTCCCCGTTGCGTGTCGCTTCGCGTTGAATTTTTGTCGATGTTAAGCCTAACGAAGACAATTGTATCGTTAAAAATTATTTTTTTTATTTTGTACACACAAAATAAATATATTGAAAAATATAAAAACAATAAAAAATTATACTTCAGGTGTTAATTTAGTATTAAAAACGTAAAATATTTGAGTAGCCCAAGAAATAGCCGAAGATTGCAGCGCCACAGCACTAGCGAAAACTTAAATTTGTCGACTGGAATGCTTTCGGATAACAGACGTTTCGGATAACCAGCTTTCGGATAAACGATGCTCTACTGTATTATTCCTCATGTTTAAAGTTTATAAAACAAGAGATTAAAAATCATGGCATTATTTTCTATTTAGCAAAAAAAAGTCACTGTAGATTAGTTTCCTTTGTTTCATCATTCTCTACTGGAGAACAACATTACATCTTAACTTCCACAACACTCACATAAAAACAAATCAAATATACATCAAGTGAGGAATTTTTCAAGGAGATTCCTTCCTCTGCCTTGCACTTAATTTTTTTTTTATCTAACACATTAAACAAAACACAATATGGTTACAATATCAGACAACAAAACAACACTGTTTACACTATCACATTTCATGTACATAGATAATATTAAACTACACATCACTTCATCATCTCTTACACACACACTCAAATGATGTACAAATGGAGTTTAGTATCTAGACCAGTGATTTCCAAACTTTTTCTAGCCACTCCCTCTTGGTTCCATAAAGTTATATTCAATGCCCCTTAACCCATTTTCCTTTGTGCAAGAAAGGCTTAAAAATATTCTTAGAAAAATTTTTCTATGAATCTTACACTTTGTGTCCTTACTGTACATTGTTCTCAACTATAATTTATCTATAACATATTGATATTGTTCTCAGCATACAAAAACCATTAAATATAATATTTCTTCTTATCTGTTTTAACAGAGGAAAGGGAAACCTTTACCTATGATCACTGTTCAGTACCCTGCAGCCACTTGCTTCTTTTTGCCCCCTAGATTTACTCATCACCCACGGGGAGTGGTAGCACCCTTTTTGGGAACCACCACTCTAAACAAATGCAAAACACACTACATTGAAAAAAAATGTTCTGAAGAAAAAAGACTTTGTACTCAGAAGTGGAGATGTTATTAAGTCCATGGAAGAGGGCAAATTTTATAAATATTTAAGATTCCAACAGGCAACCCTTACAGAATATGCAAAGATAAAACAAAGATTAACACTCAAATATCATAACCGATTACATGACATACTTCGAACACAACTAAATGTAAAACATGCTATTAAAGCAATTAATACATTTGCTGTCCCTGTGCTCACTTTTTCTTTTGGAGTTATACACCGGACAGACACATATCTCAAACAATTCCAAAGGAAAACAAAAACAAAACTTACTAAGTATAAACAATATTATCTAAATTCAACCATAGAAAGACTAACTCTTACTTGTAAAGAAGGTAGCTGTGGCCTAACTAGTATAGTTAACTTCCACTACAAACAAATTGTGAAAGTTTTTCTACAAAAATCAAAAAACATCAAGATTACATAACGCTATAACTCTGGCAGACAGTAACAACCTCTGGCTGTAAGCTCTTAGTAAAAACAGCCTATTTACACAGGCATAATCAAATAGCAAATATAATATACCAAGAGTTTGCACACAAACACAGATTATTAAACACCCAGTTACCATACTACAAATATGTCAGTGTGGAGTGTATTTGATACACACAAAATATACTATGACAGAGCCATAATCATAGAATTCAACACAATAGACTTGACATCACTTTTATCGACAAATGCAATAAGATCACTTATATAATAGATATCTCCATTCCAAACTCTCATAACTTGAAAAATGCTCATACCGAAAAAATCATCAAGTACACTCCACTTACCCAAGAAATAAGGCAACTGTGAAGGATAGATAGTGTATTTATTCTGCCTATTATCCTTTCTTCTATTGTTATCATAGCACTTACACTACACAAAAATCTAAAACCTTTAAACATTAATAATAGCATATACATGACACTACAGAAAGCTGCAAAATGGAACACATGTCACATTGTTAGGAAATTTCTAAATGTGGACACACATACCAATAACACAGAACCTTAATGCTTCAATTGTTTGATAGCTATGCCTTGACTTTAATCTGGGAAAGCACTTTGTACTATATCAGTTGAGCATTACATTTGCAACTTAATAATAATAATAAATAAATAAATGTCTTATCCACAGCTGTCTATTTACTTGCTCTAAATGTACTTAAAAATCTTTGGACTACAAATGCCTAAATTTTACTTTATAATTGTGAAATAAATTTAAGAGGAAAAAATATTTCATTCAAAATATTTGTTGAATGACAATAATATGAAAAAGAATAACCTGAAAGGAAATAAAATACATATAAAACTTTTATCAAAGGGTCTCCAGTACGTAGGTCTTTGGACATAAGCTTTGAACAACCTTTCTTAACTCACCAAAACTTTTATCAGTTATCAAAATTAATCTCTGCATAATTTCTATTAAAATTAAATTTGTATAAGCCTTAGAATATTAAATAACATTTTTTNTCTTCCTTGGCATGTTGTGAAATTTCTGATAGTTGAATAATAAACCATTTTATTGTAATTTGTCTTTTTAAATTATTTTGAGTTGATATTAAAATTTGGAAAAAGGGGATCCCTAGATCGATAAAATAGGCGAATTTCCTCCTACAACTTTGGTTGTTGTTCGGGATACAGTTAAGGTTTTAACAAAGTTCGAGCTAATACATAATTAGCAAAAAATAGTTGAAATAAAGTGATTGATTTAATTAAATAAACAAAAATTATTACAAATATCATAAATAACAGTTCACAAATGCATATATAGAGATATTTTCTGGAGGGAGGAAATGGTCTTCACAATTTGAAATCAATCAAACTCATGATGAAATGCTCGTATACACTCGCGCCATCTATCGTAGGATAAATGTACTATGCCAGAAACCTTCGCGAGTCTATTAAAAAACTTCCCAAAGTTTCATGGCAATCAGATAAACAGTGTGGTAATGCATGAAGGACATACAGACAAACAGACATACATTCATTTTTATATATATAGATTACATCTATATCCCCCACCAATTTTGATGAATTTTGGTGAAAAGGTAGTGTTTGATATTATAATGCAATCATTCAAACAATTTCATTCTATGGGCCATAATGAGAGTTATTGAGATTTAATAATTAAGGTCCATGTAGTCTGTTGCCATTGATGAGTTTGTGAATTAAGATCTTGTTAAACTGTGGATCCTCAATTTAACAGAATACTAGCATACATCAGGGCTACAAAACAAAACCTATAACAAAGGCTTAAAGAACAGAAGTGTACCATTGATAAGAAACTTTGCAACACAACGTTAGCGGCATATGCTAATCAACAAGTAGAGGAGGTCAAGTGGAAAGACGCTACAATTATCAAATCAGCTACAGACTTCAACACAATTAGGCATTTAGAAACCTTAGAAATATATAAAACCAATAGAACTTCAACCTGCATTAATTACAGGGATTCAAACTCACTATCTACCACATGGAAATCAAGTTAGAGTTCCTACAAAAACTTCCTTTAATGGAGCACTTCTACATTGTTATTTTATTGTTACTCTTATTTTAGTTTGTTATTTATTTCATTTTGTTAAATGTTTGTTATTAATTTTTATATCATATTATTTTGTTTATTTTATTTCTGTTGTATTTAAATTTTATGTTTGGTTCTATTCTACTGGTATTTATTGAATGTTTTTTATTCAAATATGTTCTATTTTGGAATACTCAACTGTTGAAGACCTATCAAATTAGATTTTAAATGTTTTTGTTTCATTAAACTTTTTACTGGAGCTGATTTCTAAAGTGTGAATTTATTTTCTACCAAAAAATCTAGCAACACATAGCTACACTGTACAGTATGTTATTAATAGGGCAACATTTTCTTATAATTATAAGAATGTGGGAGACTTTGAGCCAAAAATTCAAGTGATGATTGACAATTTCAGGCCTTCTAACTTCATTTTCACTTTTAGCACATCAGGCAAAAGAGCAAGTCTCTAAATGAATTTTTTTGGAAAGACAAATACAGTAGTCCCAAATGTAAAATAAAGCTTCCTTCTTGTGCCAGATTTATGGGACAGACACACAAGTATGGATTCATAAACAAAATTCTTCAGACAAGCTGCCAATACAACAGAAATTATTTTAAAAATTGTACCAGAAAAACTGTACATCTTTTGACACCATCTTTCATCAGCAGGTAAAATATCTTGCCAGAGAAATTCTCACAAGACTAGAGGTAATTCTTTAGGAACAGCAATGACAATCAGACACATGCAAAGG